ATATTTAGTAGTTTGCATGAAGGAAATGGTTGAAAAATGCTAATATTTAATATTGCTTTACTACCATAAGTTTTAAACACGAACACTTGTAGAACAAGTAAAGAATGCAGTAATTGAGGAAAGATGTTAATTCAAAATACTAAAGAATCTGATTTGTTTTAAAACATATATTAAGAAGGGGCAGCACTTCAGCCCTGTATTGTGGAAATCCACAACTAGCAGTAGTTCAAAATTATTCAACTGTGAGGGAAATACCGTATAGTAACTTCATGTATTCTAAGACTATGCTCTGACCTTGAAAACAGGCAGAAATTGGCTTCCAGGTGAGGTGTTATGCCTGTTAGATGACTCTGTGAGCAGCTAAGCAGAGACAGTACAGCAGTGGAATTGCCAGCCTGGAAATGGTTCTGGCTGACAGAAATTTCTCTGGAGGAAGGAGAAATCAGCGGTTTCCACTAGCGCTCTGGAAGAGCTGCTCCTCATAAGGATGCTGCAGGAATTTAGTTTCTTGTGGTTGATCGTGGGTTGAGCAGCTTGGGAGTTGAGGGATTTACAACATGCCCCAAATTGCTGTGTAGCCTTTATGGACATTTGACTGGCAAAAGCCTCACTTTCTTAACTGTGTCACGATTTAATTGCTTTACAACCTAAGAGAGATATTCCAAACTGATCAAAACTCTTGTGCCTTCTTTTTGAAAGAGAGGGGGAAAAAAGCTATCTTAAAGGATTTTAATTTAAAGCAAAAAGCTTAACAAGATTCTGATATAAGAAAGTTTAAAATGGGACAGTGATTTTAAAAAATAGAAGAAATATTTTTTTCTGATGAAAGTGCCTTTGAAAATAGTAAAATTAATTAGACGAATAGACCAGACAAATTACAGATAAGGGTATTTCACCCGATTTATTGCAGAAAATATTTAAAGAATTTGGCAAAAAGATGACTGCAACAGTTAAAAAGGAAATGGAAGAAGGATTTGCAGCGGTGACAAAAGATCTGAAAGAAGTTAAGAAAACTGAAGAATCTGTAGGGCAACTTGCTGCAGACTTAAAACAAATTACTGACAAAGTGGAAGTTTTGGAAAGCAAGACAAAAGTTACAAATAGAGATATTAAGGATTTGGACAATTAGGCATTATTGGAATTGAGATAAAAAGAATTCTGCTTAAGATTTAGAGCAATTTCAGAAGAACATGGAGAGAATATCAGAGAAAAGATTGTTAAGTCTTAAACAGAAGAAAATTCCATTTAGGTGGGACAAGTTGGAAGGGCTGCTTTTATTTTAAAATAACAGAGGTGTTGAATTCTGTGCAGAAAACAAGAGATTTTTTGAAAAAAATTAAAGATCTGGAGGAGGCACAAAGGGAAGTGACAATGACAGATGAGACTAAACAAATGCCACAACAGATTCAAGACACTGAAGAAGCTTCCATGTTAGGTGCTACAGGTATAGACTTTGGATTAATTATGGATTATAAATGCTTAACATGGAATATAAATGGAGCAAATGCCCCTAAAAAGAGAGGGGGGGGGAATCACTATTTTAAAAAGTTAAAACAAGATGTGATTTGTCTACAAGAAATGCGTATTAGGGAAAAAGACATAAAATATTTAAGTCACAAAAATCTGGGAATTTATTTCAGCAGATTTGAAAAAAAAAATGGAGTCCATGTCTTAACATAATGATTTTGAAATGATATACAATTCATATTTGCAGATGATTTGGTGTTAATTTTAGAAGATCCACTAGAGGGAGTAGAAGCATTTATTGGAAAATTAAAGGACTTTAGCATATTAACAGGTTTCAAGATTAATAATCAGAAGACAAAAATGTTAACAAAAATATGAAATTAGAAGATCAAATAGAACTGATGGAGAAAACTGATTTTAAGATTAAGAAAAAAGTAAAATACTTGGGTATTACATGATATGTAATTACAAAATAATTATGTTAAGACATGGACTGAAATTAAGAAGGACATGTTAAGATGGGAGAAATTAAAATTGTCACTGTTGGGGAGAATCTCTATGATAAAAATTAATGTTTCGCCAAGAATGATATTTTTGTTTCAGACAATACCTGTTTTGACAACAGATGTACTATTTAAACAATGGGAACAAGAATTTATATGGCAAGGGAAAAAAACATGAGTTAAATATAAAGTGTTACAAGATGAAAAGGAAAGAGGATTGGGTTTACTGGATTTGAAATTGTATTTTGCTGCTTATTTGGTCTGGATGAAAGAATGGATGTTGCTGAGAAACAAGAGACTTTTACAGTTAAAAGGTCACGACCTCAGGTTTAGATGACATGGATATTTATGGTATGATAAAGTTAAAATTAATTTGGATTTTTAAAATCATTTTATTAGATGTGCCATATTGAGAACATGGAATAGATATAAACCTAGGTTATGCCTGAAAACACCTTTAGAGATCTCAACTCAAGAAGCAATATTATAGAAGAAAAATGGCAGATAAATGGTTGATGTTACCAGGACTTATTGGAAAACTATCAAGGGGAATTTAAAATCAAATCAAGAGAACAATTAATAGCA